ACTCAAAGAAGTTGCTACCAAATACAGCGGCTTAGTATATGCTAAGGACTGAGCCTGTAAACTTGCACAGCAACTAAAGCAGTGCCTCTGAGCATATGCAGAATGCCTTTGTGTTACTATTGATGGCAAGTATCCAAGAAAATGCCCCTCACATGCCTGGGGTCAGGAAAAGAACTTCCTGTGAGGGGGTGTGGTGGAGTGGTTAAGAGTGGTGGACTTGTAATCTGGTGAACCGGGTTCGCGTCCCCGCTCTCCACATGCAGCTGCTGGGTGACCTTGGGCCAGTCACACTTCTCTGAAGTCTCTCAGCCCCACTCACCTCACAGAGTGTTTGTTGTGGGGGAGGAAGGGAAAGGAGATTGTTAGCCGCTTTGAGACTGCTTAGGGTAGTGATAAAGCAGGATATCAAATCCAAACTCCTCTCCTCTTCTTCTTCTTCTTCTTCTTCTTCTTCTTCTTCTTCTTCTTCTTCAACACTTGACCTAGCCCTGAATGATATCTCTCTTTCTGGAATGTTTACTGCAGTATGTTCTCTCTTTAGCTCCAGAATACATTGACCTAGCGTTCACTCAGGGAACCTGCAGCTCCTTTACACCTTGCTTGACTCTTACTCCCACCAGCCCCAGCCTGCATGGCCATTGGTCAAGGATGATCGGAGATGGAGTTTAACAATATCTGGATGGCCGCAGGCTCCCCAGCCCTACATCAAATGAGCAGTTGGGTGAAATGAAAACTCAAACAGTGCGGATAACCGTGGAAAAACTCCTTGTTGACTGGGGCCTCCTGTTGCTTCTCCTTTTCCAGGTCTCTCTGGCTGTTCCTTTTGCCAACCACCTCCATGCTGATCATCAAACAAGCAACACAAGTCATGGGACGCACAACTGCCTCTCTTTGCTGCAGCAAATTCAGGCTTTTGGCCATCCTGGGGCTCTGAGTGCATCTGGGTCCCTGCTGCACTGGCTGTTTTATATATTCTCCAGGCTATTGGAAATAATGAGGGTGTACTTCAGATCTTTCTGCCAGCGGTTATTGTTTTGATGCACTTTCAAACTGAATGATTGCTCTCTTATAAAGCTGTGTGTGTGTGTGTGTGTGTGTGTGTGTGTGTGTTGCCGCAGTCGCCTCCTTTTTCTTGAGCTGAAGCTGGAAGAGCTTTAAGCACAACCCTGCCCCAGTCTCGGCTGTCATTACCAATGCTTTGTCAGAAGGAGGGAGATTACACCATTTCTCCCTGCATGTCATCACAGCTGCACGATATGAAATGTCTGTGATCCTTGATGCTTAGTGTTTTCTCACTGGCCAAGCTTTTTCACTCTATGGCAACAATGGCAAAATTGCTGCTTCACCTGGAAAGTAACCTGAGTACCTCCTATTACCCCTTTCATCGAAGAGGAAACGGTCTAATTGGCCTGAATCATATTCTGAAAATCCTAATAGATGGTACTTGATCATTTTCTAAAAGCTTAATTAAGTCATACTAATCTGAGTTTGTATGGACTTGTGATTGACCTCATTAAATGATTATGGTAATGAAACTGCCTTCAGAACCTTGCTCCTTACCTGGCCAGATACCAGGTACAATATGAAATTACCTTTCTAATAGGCATGCATTGAAAGTATCAATTACTCCAATTCTAACAGAGAATGGAAGCAATAATGAGAGTAATCAACGACAAGCCTATTGTATAGGAAAATGCCTCTTGACTGGTTTGAATAAGAAAATTGCTTCTTCAAGAAAGGGAGCATAATGGAAGCTTTCATTGGACATGCAAAAAATGGGAAACATCCATTCTTTGGGGCAAATGATCCTCAAATCTCTTTGCAGAAGTGCCGCTGTCCTACATGAAATTCCACACTGTGTGTGTATGAAGGCTGCATAGTCACAAATATGGTAGTTCAAAGAGCAGGAAAAATCTGCATGAACCAGGAAGCCTTGTGGATGGCAGAATCTAGAATAAGTCGACTTTGAGAGCATCATGTTGACCATGAGAAAAACGATTAGAGAGGGGTTGGTGTGTATGCAGCCACAGTCTATCATTCATGAATGAAACTTCACAAGGAACAGGGCCAAGTTACACATTACACAGGTTGCATAGCATGCAGTTACTCCTTTGCTATTTCTTCATTAATGGATAGTTGGGGGAGAAGGTCTTTCAGCTGAGGAGGAAGAGAGGTTTATCCCTTGTCAGCCATGACTGAGACAAAAACGTGACCAATCTCAGCTCAGTCCAAGAACATTCTTACTTTTTTAGAGCAGCAGTTTAAAGGGCTGTGGAATGGCCCAGTGATTCAACAAGCCCAATCTTTGTTCAGAAATACATCCCAGGTGATTCGGCAAACTTTACTTTAGATTGTAGCCAAAGACTACCATATGGTGAATCAAAACTTATCCATTGGTTTAGCAAAATACTGAATTGTGAATCTGAAGAAGCTAAGATGGTTTGATCCAGATGAGTAAATTAGTCACACTTAGATCTCATGAAAAAAATATGTGAAAATTTAATCACAAGTAGCTAATTGATTTCAGTGGCAACAAACAGACTGACAGCACAATCTTTTACATGTCTACATTAGAAGTAAGTCCCATTAAGTTGAGAGGGACTTACTCCCAGGTATAGGATTGTGGCCTTAGTCAGGATCCAAGCAAATGAATCTGAGAGTGAACGGGCTAGGCATACCTTAACTAAAGAATTATGCGATTTCTACAGCAAGAAGCAGGACTGTTAAATGATGAATCCAATAAAATATAAAATCCCTTATGGGACCCTTTTAGCAAAGAGCATGAAACCCTTGGCTTAAAGTGGTGATGGAGATTTTGGCAGTATTTTATTAGAATTGTAAAGAATAGCACCATTGAGCTTATTCAGTTCCTTTGTCAAACAAGCCAAGCAAGGAGCATTGCACTGGTGAAGATCAAAATCCCTGTTTTGCTTACCTGCATACTGCGTTTCTTATACTTGAGAAAGATGCAGAGGCATGAAAAGAAAATTGGGTGGGAATCCTGGTGGGGCCACATTTTCTGGGGATTGGAAAGAATGACTCCCAGACAATGGTAATGATTATGTAATATCAAAGTACATGTGAAAAGAAAGTGCTATCTCATTTCATGATCACTGTGTGACACATTAAAGCAGTCAAAGAAAGAGGTTTTAAGCCCCATTTAAGTAATTAGTTGCTATTGTATTCAAGAAAAAGTGATTGGAGACACAGTGCCTTTAACAACCATCTTGCAAAATGTTACTACCTATATCAAGTGCAAGGAATGGTCTAAACAGGTGATCACATTTGACAGAATGACAAAGGTTGGCTAATACCTTACGAGCTTTTTGTGCTTTAGCTATCATATCTAATTTTCTGCATGAAGAGTAAGCCCACTTGATCTAAGGAAATCTGGGTTTCAATTTACAGCTGATGAAGCTTAGATCATTTCCTGCTCCACTTGTAAACAAATGATAAGTGTGGATTTCCCAGGGATTTAGTAAGATGCACGACCATTTTAATGTCAACATTTGATCTTGGTTTCTTTCATGTAGGGTGTGAGAGTTTAGGTGAAGTCAGAGAAAATACAAATCTGAACTAAAGCTTTGAAGCTGCTACTGGACAGTGTTCCTTTGTGGTCCTGACCTATCACTCCTCTGCTTCTTATGCACATCTTTTATTTTCACTTCACAGGAATATGTGAACATGTGCAATCTGCTGGTAGAGCAGTGGGAAACCTCTGGCCCACAAACCAAATTCACTCTGCACTCCCTTTGCAGATGGGCTTGCAGCCAGCATGCTTTAAATTTGGTGTTGCATGCAAGCTCAGGTGCTTCCTAGCAAGATCCAGTCCACCTTACATCATATGACATCAGGTAATCATAGAATCATAGAATCATAGAGTTGGAATAGACCACAAGGGCCATCGAGTCCAACCCCCTGCCAAGCAGGAAACACCATCAGAGCACTCCTGACATATGGTTGTCAAGCCTCTGCTTAAAGACCTCCAAAGAAGAAGACTCCACCACACTCCTTGGCAGCAAATTCCACTGTCGAACAGCTCTTACTGTCAGGAAGTTCTTCCTAATGTTTAGGTGGAATCTTCTTTCTTGTAGTTTGGATCCATTACTCCGTGTCCGCTTCTCTGGAGCAGCAGAAAACAACCTTTCTCCCTCCTCTATATGACATCCTTTTATATATTTGAACATGGCTATCATATCACCCCTTAACCTCCTCTTCTCCAGGCTAAACATGCCCAGCTCCCTTAGCCATTCCTCATAAGGCATCATTTCCAGGCCTTTGACCATTTTGGTTGCCCTCCTCTGGACACGTTCCAGTTTGTCAGTGTCCTTCTTGAACTGTGGTGCCCAGAACTGGACACAGTACTCCAGGTGAGGTCTGACCAGAGCAGAATACAGTGGCACTATTACTTCCCTTGATCTAGATGCTATACTCCAAATTAATACTCCTATTAATTTGGTGGCCCACCTGCCAAATGTGACCTACATAGAGGTGGCCTCTTTCTGAATTGGCTCACTGAACAGAAATGGTTCCCCAACTTCTGTTCTAGGAGGTAGCATCTTCTCTGTGCCTGGTTTCAAACCATGAGTTTCTTGGATGGTTATGGGTACATTTGTCCAACTGGAGATAATAAACAGATATAGTGGGTTTCAGGTGATGGCAGTGCTGCAGGTTCTACTCTGGCCTACATGCCTTTGTTATAACATCTGTAGAAAGCCCATGCACATATAAGCTTTCTCCATGTGACCAAGAACCTGTGAAAAGCAAGATTCCTTTAAAAAATATATCTTCCAGATAGATAGATAGTGGATAGATAATCTTGTTGTTATAATGAATGCTCACAGCTCAGGGTGGAGACCAGGCTGCTGGTCCGCTCCCACAAGCACATACATTCATTATTTTCAGTTGAATGGGCCTGTCTCTCCGTGTTGGAAATTAACACATTAGAGAATTCTGTATTAATAATTAACAAATTTGCTGTCTTGTGGGCCCGTAAGGAGCGAGGGCAAAGAGGAATATTCCAGAGGGGCAAGTGTGGCAGGAAAATTATAATGAATGTTGAGATGCAATTGTGAGTGGATTGCACCATTTGAGTGATCACAAGCTTGATTACAAGGGAGCCACCATGCGGAAGATGGAAGAGCCAGCTGGATCACTCCAATGACCCATCTAGTAAAGCATTCTGCTCCCACAGAGGCCAACCAGATGCCTGTGAGAAATCCTCAAGCAAGACACAAGAGCGCAAGAGCACTCTTCCCTCCAGCGATTGGTATTCAGAAGGCTACTGCCTCCAATTATGAAGGCAGAGCATAGCCATCATGGTGAGTAGTCACTGGTGGCCTTTTCCTCCATGGCAAAGCCTCCCTACTTTTATACAGTCCGGAGTAGGGAAGAACTTCTTTCCCGCCTTCCACCCAGCACAATGAGGTAAACACAATTAGTCCTGAGCCTATCACCTGCCTTATACTCAGGAATAAAGGTAAAGGTAATTGATACCAAGCCAGACAATTCATCCATCTAGCCTAGGACTGTCGATTAGGACTGGCAGTGGCTTTCCAGGATTCTCAGCAAAGTTTTTCTCACCACTTGCTATCTTTTCCTTTGGGCTAGGGATTGATCCCGGGGTGGCCTTCATGTAAAGTGTGAGCTCTGTGTTTGAGCCAGGACAGTCTACATCAGGGAGAGGTATGTATTAAAATGCATATGTTAATGAAAATAACATAAAAGGCATCGTATTAAGGAACATTGCTTTCAAAATGTTTATATTAGGAGTTGTTTAGACAGAAAGGCTGACAAATTTTCATGAGCAAAAATATATGTTGCAAAGTGATACAGAATTTGAATAGCTGAACTTAAGGCTGGAAAATAAGAAACAGATACTTCCCATTTTTATGTAAGTTATAGTACAGTAACATTGAGGGGCGGCTAGATGCCCTTACAATAGAAATTGGCTCCAAAAGCAGCTTTTTCTACTGGGGCAAATAACTGGGCGGGGTGGGGGGGGTTGAGGGGAATAAATTCATTAAAAACCACTGTGGAGAGCTGAGTAAATGTTCTACCATGTAGTATGTCCTGATCCAGATCAAGGGCCCTGCAGTTTGCACACACACACCCCACACACATATAAACACACACACACACACACACACACAGAGAGAGAGAGAGAGAGAGAGAGAGAGAGAGAGAGAGAGAGAGAGATTTGCACTGGTGTTGCTGAATTGGGACTAATGTCTATATTTGCTCTTCTCCATTTTTGCGGGACTGTGCCATGAGGTTTCAGATATAATAGCCATTGATTATGAGAAGTTTATTTGATTAGCATTTGATTGTGAGTTTTGTTATTTTCAGCACAGTGGTAAAGCATGCATTAATTGAGATAATGAGTATGAGCTGTAATTCAGCTCAGTAATCAAACTCATAAACCGAGCATTATCAAATTTATAAACTCAGCATGTGCAAGTATCCTCAGTGATAATGAATTCACAGTCAGATTACTCCCTTGCAATTGTTGATAATCCTTGAAATATATCGCACTGGCTTGCATCTAATGTTTTACACTGTTTTGTGCAAAGTTCATCTCTCTCTCTCTCTCTCTCTCTTCTGCGGATAAAGAAATAAAGAAAACAACAGAAAGCGAGGCTCTCAACCATATATATCGTACCAGAATTAAATGTGATTCCCTCACCTGCTGCGCCAGGTATGCTTGCATGTAAACATGGGATTTCCACATGTGAAACCAGAAATGTGCTCCAATAGTGTGCAGACAGCGAAGTTCCACACATGGTGTTGGGCAGCAAAAGTGGGATAGGGCTATTGCCCTTGTGTCCTGCTTGCAGGCTTCCTATAGGCATCTGATTGGCCACTGTGGAAAATAGGATGCTGGGTTAGATAGGGCTTTTGTATGATACACAAGGGCTCTCCCTGATTTCTCACATCTTTCTTTCAGAGCTGATGAAATCAGTATTTTTGTCTGTGCCATGTGTGTGTTTATGTGTGAGTTCAATTTTCTCAGCTTCTATGCACTTGGAGCATTTGGGATGAGAATTCTTTAGCATCAAGAAACTGATGCAGTGCTGGTTCCACCGTTGGGGTGGCTGTAGGTCACAGCACCATCAGCGAGCCCCCTGGATAAGGTCATTATTTTAGGTTGCATCTGATCCTCTTGAATAATTCTTTGCAAAGTGAAAATGACAGCACAGCTAGGGTGGTGGGCCCTCTGCTGGTCTTGGGGCTCAGGCAAATGCCTTACTTTGCTACCCTCTGAAGCTAGCTCTGGACATTAAGAAGTATGAGTCGCAGAAGATAAATGGGATTGCGAGAGACAGGCAGGAAGCTGCGAATGTAATGAAAAGCTGAACATTGAGGTTTGGTCCAGATACACTCTAGAGGCCAGCAGTCACCATTATGTGTGCAGCAGTGCCCCCAGCACTGAAGTGAATGAGACCAGGTGCACTTCTGACTTTGTGAGCTTTGAATCAAAAAGTGGCAACTAGGAGAGCTAGAACACCACCTCAGATCTTTCTCACTAGCCCCCAAACCTCCTGCCCCTTCTCCCATTTTGTGTTGCCTTATTTGCTTTGTTTGCAGAATGGTTTTCCCTCTGAAAGTCACCCTAAATTTACATCAATACACACAAATTGAATGCAAATTAAAGTCATGGGCCTGCCCCTCCCCAAGTCTTTAGACACCCCTGCTTTGCCATGCCTTCCTTATTTGGTAGGTGAAAACTGAGTTTCTTAGGAATTGAAGTTCTGTTCCGAAGACCATGTTCTGCAAGGAACTTTTCTCATATTAAGAGAATTAGAAGTATGTGAAACTTTAAAAGAGCAGGCTTCTCTATACAGTACCTATGGCATGGCAGATACTTTAAGGTGAACTTATCTGGCATGATATACATTTTTAAAACTCGTGTATTCATATCTGTTTTGAAAGTTAGCTCTTTCAGATAATTGCACTCTTTCACATCACTCTTATTCCCTCTCTCTCTCTTTTAATCCAACAGTAGGGTTGCCGTATTTCAAACAATGAAAAACCAGAGGGCCAAGGTTTTTGAGCTTTTTTAGTTTTAGTAGTGGAGCTTTTTTGGCATAATCGCATTAAGAATTGCTGTTTTTTAGCTGTTCTTATGTAAAATCAGCAAAAACCTCCAGCATGGGCTGACATACGTTCGGATTTTCAGTGTCTTTTTGCCGATTTCCGCCTGCACGCTGCTGCCGAATGCGGTATTCCAGATATGTCCAGGAAATTTCAGACGTATGGCAACCCTATAACAGCAAATGCTATTCTCATATGACTGCCTACCCCACCCCTACCCCCGCTGAGCTTTCCTTTTTATTTTTGATCTCTCAGAAATGGAAGAGCCTCATCAATTATGTGCATTACGTCTCCCTCCTCCTTTAAGAAAAGTTCACTTTCACTCTTTCAATGCGTTTGGCATTTCTACACAGGTTAAATGTTGTGCCAACAGAAGCAATGCTGATTTCCTAACATTGTTGTATTAACATACCTCAAATTTCGCCCAGAGCAAAGGGAAATGATGTTGTTTGGAATGAGATGGTAATTTACTTTCCATGGCTCTGAGTCCTAAGGCATCTTCTTGGGACATGACAGCCAGCTGTGTAAATTGAAATGGGCAAACAATTGTCCACTGGGGGCTCCAGTATCTCAAAAGCTGTCTTCTGTGTGGTTTCCCTGCTCACATAGACAACAATGTTATTTTATTTTCGCAGAGATCACTGGGGTTTAGCTATCAAATAAATGGACACTTCAGCCCATATCATCTGTCTGCATTAAGGGGGAATATAACTGTCATCTATTCAAGCTATAGTAAAGGAACAGTAGCTTCTGGCTCTTGCTATCAAAAGATCAAAAGGAAATGGAAGGGCATCAGGAGAAGGCAAAATCACAACCTCCCTGGGCAGCTTGCAAGTGGATATCTCATGTACAAGTTAGGGCAGGCATTAAATTGGTCATGCTTCAACTCTTGATTTTGTTTGCATTTAACATCTGCACTTCAGCTTTGGCCTCGAGCCTTTTGTCCTTTTCGTAGCCCTCCTCAACAAAGCCGTGGAAAGCTGATCCCCTATTTACAATAACAGCCCCAGATTGAGAGGGAAAATCCAGCACTGACATTGTTTCATATAATATCGATTCCCATATCCAAGGTGATACCTTAGCCGTCCTTGCCCAGGTTTCGACGCTGATGATTTCATTAGGGGGACTTGATGAAGTCATGAGAAAAACTGTCAGAAGTGTTTAGATCATAATGAGTCTTGTTCCATGGCAGCTGATAAAATCCTCAAACTGGGGGCCATGTGTTGTTCGCATTTATTGGAGGCTCTTTAGAACAACTTCCTTTCTGGCATGAAAGCTTCAGCTTTACTTTTATGCGTTCGGATGTTTGGTGCTGTGTGTGCCAATAGAAACCTTTTCCTGTTTCTGAATAGCAAGGAGATTATTATTATTATTATTATTACTATTATGACATGTCAGCACAGAAATAGTGTGCAGGTGTGGCCCTCCCACCTACACTCAGTAAGATGCAATATATGGCATAAAACCAGATGGATGGCTTTTGATGCACTGGAGGGGATATTCCAAGCTAACTTCCTTTCTCCTGCTAGCCTATGCTGCTCTTTCTTTTCAATTTCTCCTGTCCTCCTTACCCTCCAAAGACCAACGGCAACTCTCCTCCCCATGGCAATGCAGGGAAGAGTTGCCGTCCCATTGCAGTTGCTCAGCAACCTTCTAGCCTTGCAAATGGTGGGCTGGGACTGGAACAGGGCCTAGAATTTGATTCAGTTTCCAATGTGTGCGTGGGAAAGGCACATTAATGCTTGGGGGTGTATTTTCCACCCCAATGATATTTCCACTGTACAGGGGGTTGATTTCAATTACAAACAACAAAAACTATCTTTTACAGTAAGAATGTTATGAATATATTGTAGGCTGTCTAGAAAAAAACTTTATTACAATTCAGAACTAACATCAACTAACATTAATGGTTTCGTGGGCCGTTTCTCTGGCTCCATTAAGAAACGTACAAGAAAACTGTCCTTGCTTGGAGAAATATGGTTTGCAACAACCAATTGACACCTCACACACTTTCTTGACCTTACTTGACCTTTCCCTGTCCATTTGCTTATGAAAAAATGATGAAGTGTTTTACTACCCCATTGGCTGAGGTAATGAACACACCCTCATGGCAAAATTAGATGCATTTTTCAGTCATTTCATGCCACAGGTGTTTGTTTTTTCCAGAAGGAAAACAGTAAGTGGCAATTGAGTGAAATTTGGAGGTGTTGCACAGGTGACCATTTGTGACAGTGTCATAGAAGGATGACCCTGTAGGTTCACTTATGTGTGAATTGCACAATGGAAAGTGTGTTGGGAAGGCTTTGTGTGGCCATAATTGAATGAAGGTTGAAGATGAATCTTACCTAATTGGTGCTTTCTGAATCAACACAGTGTATGAGAGATTCAAGGGGCCACATCCGGGCTCACAGCAATGATGGGCTAATGAGCCCACTCCACTTTTTCCGTAGTCCTAGGGGAATGGCAACCCACACTTTGGGAAACCATGATCCACAGAACACAAACATATATGCACGCCCATAACTCCTTGATTATGTCGCTTCCGCATTTCTGGGAAACTCGTATTTCAGCATGGATAGGAAACTACCTAGACTTTAACAGGTAAATTAACAGAAGTGCAGTTTCATGAGTAAACTCTATGATCCCAATAAAATGGCGGCACTTGTTCTTTTTAAAAGGCCTATTTAAGCTCAATTTTATGATGCTTATCTTTATCTTGTGTGTTTTCTGTGAAGCCCTTCAAAATGTATGCAACCACATTGTTATTTCAAGGCTTATAAACAAGATATATCGGCTGTCAATGATTCTTCGGAGAAGAAGTCATGGGAATTGTATAAACAGAAAGTTATGTACCAACTCTTCTTATGTATGACTAAATGCATAAATGTTGCTTCCTTTTGATTCTTAACAGATGGTTTGTTTCTCCAGAGGAATTATGGAGGAATTCATAAACTGGCATCATGGGCATACTGAGGTGGAACTAAATGAGCACCCTCCCTCTTCAGCTGTCCCCATATTTACCTTCATGTATTTCCCAAACATACATACAGACTGTTACACTTCTCTTGGAATCAGGGGACCAATGTCGGGGGGGGGGGGAGTTGCATACCATGCCAAGATCACTGCTTCAAGTCCACTTTTTCAACAGCTTATGCTGCCAATAATTTTGACGCAACATACAAAAAGATAGAGGAACCTTCACAATTTGATGGGATTGTGGAATAGCACAAGGTCAAGAAAAACCCGCACCCAAATGCCACTAAAAAAAAACAACAGATGAAATTAAAGAAGTTCCTATGGTGAATACAGCAGAACCAATGTCATGTAGTGGTTAGAGTACTGGACTAGGATCTGGGAGAGCAGGGTTCGAATACCCACCAGTGGCGGACCTTGGGGTATCAAATTTCAGGGGCGCCCAGTGCAACACCAAAATCCCTCCCCCCTGCCTCTCACCTTTCATTCTACCTCAGACTCATGGCAGCAGCTGCAGTGCCCTCAAGGCTCCGCACCCAGTGAAACTCAACCGGTCGTGCTCCCCTAAATCCACCTCTGCCCCCACTCAGCCACAAAGTTCAAGGGGTGGTGTTGGGCCTACCTTGTGGAAGGCTATAGGTTATTCTGATGTCAGTCCTACACATAGGACAGCCATTCAAATATTGACCATGGTTAAATTAGTTTGATTTATTTCAGTGGGTCTACTCTGTGTATAACTTAGCTGGCTACAACCCAAAGGTTCTGGTGAAGAGGTGAGCAGTCTACTAGAAAGTGACTACACTGAATATTTAAACATGAATTACTTGCTTCTTTCCAGGAAAGAAAATCTTTATGGTTCCATCAAATTCTTGCTCATTTCAAAGGGCTTGGATCTTTCTGTTACTGGCTCAGATATTATAAAATGTTCCCTGCTTATTAAAGTTTTGTCACTGGCTCAGCTTCAGTTCTTTCTATGACCTGTTTTTGAAGGATTCTAGTCTGCTTAAGATGGCTTAACTTTCAATCATTTGTGTGTTATTTTTAAAAAGGGGAAATTCCAAGAACATATAAAATAAAGTTACCTTTTTTAATCAGTGTTGTTGCTGTATATCATTTCTACAAAACCCAACCCAGAACTTGCATTCCCGATTCTTAGAGGCATAAAGTCAGGATCAAAATATTAAAATGAACATTTAATATTTTGATTGGCATCCTTCTTGTATACAGAATTCCCTTCACTGTAAGGCAAGTTTGGTTATTTTCCACTTCTGTCCAGCACAATTTGTAATTTACTGAGTTTTAAAATAGTTAATTTAAAAAACACACAATATTATGTAAAAAGAACAAAGATTCTTACAACACCTTCAAGACTAACAAATTTATTATAGCATAAGATTTTGTGGACTACAGTCCACTTCATCGGGGGCATGAAGTGTTATTAAGTGCATAACTTGCTGTACATGTGCCTGATGAACACATTTGTTAGCCTTTTCAATGCCAAAAAAATATTTGTACTTTTGACTGCAAAAGTTCAGCACAGCTACCCTTCTGGAAAAGGCTGCAGTTGTGTGTGTTATCATTTTGTTCTAATATGAATTTGTTTTGAACATGCAGGAATATATTAAATTAATGATGGGGGTGAGGAATGCCATACCTGTATGTGCAGATTCCTGTTGCAGGACACTACTTGCAGAGGTGTGTGTATTCTGCCAGACTCTGTGAACTTTGGTCTGTACAGTCCATCAGTAATACAAGTAGTCCATTAGTTCATCATCTTAGGCCCTTCTTCATGTGCCTCCTCCATGAGAGATCCAGAGGGTGGCAATACAAGAACAGGCTTTTCTGTGGTGGCTCCCTGTTTGTGGAATGCTCTCCCCAAGGAGGCTCTTCTGGCGCCTTCATTATACACCATTAATTAACTAGCCTTGGGCTGGTTAATATTCTATGGCCTTTTAAATGTGTTTGTGGTGGTGGAGGGTGTTATTGTTTTGTTTGAATTATTTTTTGTGTTCTTTTATTCTGCATTTTTATCTTGTGAGCCACCCTTCGAATAAAGGGTGGTATATAAATTTAATAAATAATAACAATAAGTACCCAATCAGTGCTGAATCTGAAACCCCTGCTAGTCAACTGCTCAGCATACTGATAGGGATACTTCGCTCCCTTGCATGGATTCTGGCCACACACTGGACCAAACTGCCACACATGAGGAGGAGCTCTATACATGTACCTTAGTACTCGCAGAAAGCCCATTCACATGCTGGCCAAATGCATGAGTAGGAGGGGTCTGGCTGCTAAGTGCAGTGAGGGTGGGGAAAGGGGCTGGCCTGAGAAACCTCCCGGACCCTGCCTCCCCCCCCCCATGTTATTTCAGTGCTTCTGATCAAAGTTCAAAGATTGGGGTAGACTACGGGATGATGGGAGGCTACAGTCCAAAGAGGGAACTGGCAGGAATCCCCAGAGGAGTGGCCAAGGAGCCAAGCCAATTGCTTGTGTCCTGCTGCTATACAGAAGGGGGAAATGGAACTTAAGTGGGAATTCCGCTAATGTTCAATGTTTCTTTTTATTGTTTCTCAAGAAGTTATCACTACCATGGTGGTTTGCCTGCAGAAATGAAAAGAAGACTATGTTGGCTGGATATTTTTATTTATTCGAAGAATAAACATAGGATATGCAGGACCAGCATCGTGATATATTTTGGGGAAACGTGTTTGAAGAGTCAATTAAAGGATTATTCAAAGCTACTAATAGGATCATTTGTTGTATCAAATTGTTCCCCACTCTGTGAGTGCATATTAACAGGACAACCCTGCCCATGTCTACTCAGATACAAGTCCCTTTTAAGTTCACTGGGGCTTACTCCCAGGCCACTGCTATGGGATTGCAGTTTTAAGCTACTTTTTATTAGAATTTGCTTTTTAAGTGTGCCTTAAACTGATGGTTTATAGACTTTCAAATTTTGATTTAATAAGTGTATAATTTCGTATTTCATGTTTTACTTCACCTTGATTTGCATCCATGTGTGCAT